CTTAGGGACATGGTTTAGTGGGCATGGTGGTGTTGGGTTGATGGTTGGACTCGATGATCTTAGAGGTCTTTTCCAACCTTAATGATTCTATGATTCTATAATCAGGTAGGAGTCAGATGAACTGCATCCTAAATTCCCCTCACTCGGATAACCAGGTCTCTATTGACTATGGTGGGAATCTAGACAGCTCATGCAGCTGTAGACGTCTGTGCAGTAGTTAATGCCAAGTGGAATGAACCCTACTCATACAGGCAATAGCTGATCAGCTCCTCAGTTTGCAAGAAAAAGGAAAGTTTATAATCTGGTTTCAAAGTCGTACAAAAACATTTAGTATCAAAATATCTTAGTATTGCATTGTTTAGCCATTGGCTCAGAGAGTATTCTCCCACTTCACCTATTTATATGCTTTTTTCCCCCACCAAGTTCCCATTTCACACTCCCCTCAATGGTGGATGGGTAGATCTTGTGAAATGAAAAGGTCTACATGGAAATGTGTTGTCCACAGAGTTTCAGAGGCAGCTGCTATATATACGGTCACAGTACCTCTCAATGCTTCCTATACTGTCTGATATATGCAGAATTTAACATAAATCCATATCTCCTACTTGTTTCTTTTCTCCCTCTTTAGAATTTTTTTAAATTAATACAGTACAAGCATATTTTGAAGTTGGATTTTGTTTTGACTTTTGAGAAAAACGTGTGCCTATAATACATTATTGCTAAGATTTGAAGAATGATTAGATTCTATCTGTCCTGGAATATACAATAACCACCTTGAAGTAAGTTGCCAAAGAAAACTTTGATATTTTTATGACTTCTTTGTTGAACCTTGCGACAACCCATGAATTAAAAAAATGTCAATCAGATCAACATAACTTCTTTCTACAAGTTTGATGCTACCCTACCTAAAAAAGTATTGACCCCAGGCCAATACAAAGCACTGAAAGGGTGACTGACAAATGAGAATATGATTGTTTTGGCTTATCCTCTACAAAAATGGCAGTCTCTCATTATGGATAAGATGTGAGATACTAGTCTGCTTAGTGCTCAGCAGCTCTTAAACATTTTTGGCTTTGATTCTTCCGATGTAGACTTCGTATTGGGTTTTCATGCTTTCTGTTTTCTTCCGAGACAGAAGAATTTTGCAGGTCTTGCAGCAGTGATTTAGTTAGATGTGATGACGATCAGGTCTGCAGCTGAAGTGGATTGCTTATCTCAAGTGTTGTCAAGGGTTAAGCCTTGTCAGGATGGGATAATTCTTGATCCTGCCTGAACTTCAGATTTGTAGTACTTCTGTTAGCCCTTTCATGTCCAGCGATCTCCTTCATAAATATATATTGGATTTATAAACCTTAGAATTACTTTCTGACTGATTAATCAGAACTCAATGTTTGTTGCTCGTAAAGGTATTCTTTGCAAATATAGACACAACGATTTGTATAAGATGTCATAAAATATAACTGGAGGTTGAGCAGTGTTTCAAAGAATGAACTACCTTCTTACTTAGCAGCTGTGCCATTGAAGAGTCTGCAAAACCTGTTGCAGTAGTTTAAGATTTTGAAGATGAGGGAGGAAAAGGTTTGTCAGTAGAGTCATGTACTACTCCGTCCTCTGTGAAGCACAAATTTGTATGGTATGACTTACATTTTATAATTCATAAAATAATAGTTCTGAAATCTGCTCGAGCAAAATTCCTGTGGTTAGGCTGAAAATATTCTATTGTCTCTGGCTTTCCTGAGCTAAGTGAAAGCATCAGAAAGGATAATTTTAACACTGATTGTGCCATTGTAATGTGATCTTTTCCTCTGCAAACATTAATAAGAAGCACGGTAATTGTTGAAATGGGCACCTACGGAGATCAGTATATCCAGAGGAGTGCAAATACTTTCCATTCTTCTTTAACACTTTTTGTATAAAGATTAGGTGGCAGTCTTTGCTTAAGGCTCCCTCAAGGAAAGAAATATGTGCTGACATTAGGTTGGTGTAAGAAATCAAGTAATTTGTACTTTTCTCCTTTTAATTGTAAAATCTGGATATCTCTCTGCCATACACATCATTGTAGTATGGAATATGAGTGATCATTTCTGTTCAGAAAAAAATGAAGACAAAAATTTGAACTGTTAAAATCTTTTGATTTTTTAATATTTTAAATTCCTTTTCAAAGTAACTTTTGTTTCACATATGCTTCTTTGTATTTTTTAAATTGTATTTAAAATGAATCCAAATTTTATTAATCAAATATTGAAAGGTGGGGAAGTAATCTGAAATCTCACTATTTCCATGTAAAGAAATTCATTCCCCAATAATTTTTATTTGTTATAGAGTTGGTTTAGTCAGCTGTATTCTGATAAATGCCACTTTTAATTAACCTCCTTGCAAATTAGAATTCCCAGTTACACAATTAGTGGGAGAAGAGCTCTCTGTACATGACCTTTAGAGTACCTCATTGTGTAAAAGGAAAGGAGGATTTTAAATGTGTGCAGTGAAGAAGGTGCAAAAACTTGCAATGTGAAAAATAAAATATAGGTTTTACAAAACAACTGAGTTCATTCTGAATTATGCTGTTAGCACAACTACATATGCTAAGTAACTCTGAAAGGAACCTGTGTGAGCATTGGGATGAGTAGTGCCATGTCATATATTTTCTCCCATGGGAAGGCATTATTTTAATCGCTAATTCAATATTTGCTAGTTCAAAGATCTGAATGATCACCTCTGTGAAACTACCTTCATTTTAAAAATCTTTATTTCTGATTCATAAAATGCACATTGTTACAAAAATTGAAACTAATCACCTCTTTCTGTTTCCCTTCTTAAAGAGCATATGGGTTACTACCTACGTGTTTACAATATGCTTTGCTGCTAACGTGGGACTGTTGTACGGTGTTGTCTGCACTGTAGTAATTGTGATTTTCCGCTTTCCCAGGTGAGAAATAAATTTATTGAAATGTTCTAGTAGGACATCGTTATGTCTTCTTTCTGGCACATTGCTTCACTGTCAGGATAGACATACAGTACACTAAATTTAACAGGAAACTTCGGGTTTTTAGTTGCAGAAAATTACTAGATAAGACAATTCAAAAGGAAAAGTCACACCTGTGCATTTACTATAGGCTAAGGATCTCTAAAATGTTTCATACTATGGCATTATTTTGTGATTTCTCTTAGTATTACACATCTCTATGACTCATTAGGTGAAGGTAGCATAAGATCAACAGAAAGATCAATAATATATACTTTTTTCCATTAGATATTTATTTGCTCCTTAAGTGTATGTCTGGCAAGCCTTAGTAACTAAGCGCCCTTTACAAACTCTTAGGTACTACGTTGCACAGGAGTTAATAGTTGACATTTGCACTGCTAATATATATTAATGAAACATAACCGCACAACTATTCTAATGTATAATGAAAAGTACATTATAAATTCTATGTATGAATTAGAAAAGCCAGGACAAAGAAACTAGAGCTAATACAAATATGTATATTCTTTTTCATATATTACCGTTGCTACTTTGGATCATGAGTGAAGGAAAATGTCAGTCGAGGTTCATGATCATTTTGTGCTACAAAGTTAATCCATAGCTCATCAGTCCTGCAAATGACTTGCTGCTTGCAGGCGGTTGTTTGCATGAACATCGAATCCCACTGAAATTAAGTACAATATAGACAGCTTGATTTAATGCTTGTTAAAGTTAACGGTGTTAACCAGTTGTCCATAGCTCTGTTCTCATGGAATAAGCTGCAGAACCAGCGTGAAAACAGCTCAAAATTGCAAGACAATTACAAATTATGGAAGGTGGTTTCTGCTTGCATCAATCAGTACCTTTTTGGTAACCTTCTGCTACTAAGCAAACTAAAATTTGGTAAATTCTGCTAGTAAAGGAAAAGGTAAGTTTTCATGTTGTTTACACCCTGAGCCTGGATGTCTGAAGTTCTGCCACAGCAGAAAGGGAGAGATATCTGACACTAAATAGCAGGGTCTTCTGTTGTCTGATCTAACAGAGACCTCAGTCTGAACCTGCAATAATTAAAGTAAATAAGACTCTTCCCAGTGATTTCTGTGGCCTTCAGTCAGGTTGCACATGATTGTCCATGCAACCTAAAAGCACCGAACAAGCTAACAGCCTTAAAAACTGTGCTGCACAGGTGAGGTTAGCAAGAGAACACGCAGTAAGCTATCCAGTTGTGGGCAAAAGTGTCAGCAAAAGTGAAGGAAGAAAAATACCATAGGTGATTTATTGTGAAGTTTCTGTTCAGATGCCAGGGTATTGGTTGTGGTACATGTTATGTATCAGAATGTATTAAAACCAGCAGCAGCTACAGCTCAATTTATGCAAACAGGAGAGAACAGCTGACTTTTGCAAGCCTCATTTAGCCAACCCCCGTACCTGCAAATACTCCTTGCACATTGACGCATCTATTAAATGTTTTTATTCTGGGATTATTTCCATTGCCTAGCTTTAGGCACAGAGCTCAGATGATAACTGGTTTCATAGTCTTCTTGTTCTGCAGTTAAATGTGCTCCTGCAAATGATGTATTGAAGCAGAAAGTCCTACGCTGAGCTGCCTTTTCAAGGCAACTTTTGCTTTTCACTGACTGTGTAGAGAGCATAGGGATATTGGCTTTTCCAGTTAAGTCCCCCACTTTGATAGCTAGAGTGCAATGTTCTGCTTCATCATACAAAGATGTGTCAATTTTAATGACAAATAAAACATCCTTAGTTTTCATGACCCATAGCTATTTGATATCTTTTTTTTCCTTTTCTTACAGTATGATTTTGCAGGTAAAAAATATTAATTAAACCTCTGTACTTTTGAAGCTGTAGAATATATATTTGCTACCTTGACTTGAGAATAGCTCTCTGTCCAGCTACAAAACAGTAATGAAACTTAAAATTAAGATTTTATTTACCAGAAATTTCCATTATTCATATTTTCAAAGTGATATATTATAATTTTAAAATGTGCTTTTTACCATTTAACTGGATCATTATCACAAAAAATAAGCTCTGTATGCATGAAAATACATATGGATTGCATCATCACAACTTTAAACTTCTACACTGTAGTTTTGGAGTGTGTCTCTTCCTGTTTCTGTTCAAGACTACTAATGATTTGCCTTACAGATTTTCTCTGTGTATTGATTACAGAGCAAAGACACTGAATTTGAAAAATGTGAAAGAAGTGGAATATAAATACAAAACAGAAGATAATTGTGTAAGTTAAATTGTCTCTTTTTGTGTGTGTGTGTGTGTGTTCCACTAATTCAGATTTGTTTATTTTCTCTAGTTGGTTACCAGATTGTAATCAGTGAGTCAAGGGAACATTTTTATGAAATGACCACTTGAAATTTAAAGCCAGTATGACGTAGTAAATACAAAACTAGTCTGGGCATCCGAAATTGGAATATTTTCCTGGTTCTGTTGCTGGTCTGCAAAGTGAAGTTAGGCAAGTCCTCTTAGATCTGTCTACCTTAGTTTATTTGTTACTTTTAAGTTAGGAATGGCTCTTTGTAAAATTTTCCTAATTCCTAAGTCTAAGGAAATCTCTCGGCAGCAAGGGCAAGGTCCATCTGAGCAGGTAATAGCTGTCTCTATGTTCTTATCAAATTTCCTCATTTCTGAAAGTCCTTTGATACTCTCATCATCCACAATCTCTTTTCTGACCCCATTTCTGCCACCAGCCCCTTGTGATCGGACTGTCCCAGAGGACACCGTGTGCGTCTGGGGAAGGAGGGACGGCATCATGAAGTTGTCACATACTACTTCACATATCTCACCACCCTGTACTCAAACAAGGGTACCCTGATGTGAAAAATGGATGGAAGAATCTCTCCAAAAGACTGTGCTTTTAAAGTTTGGCTTCTTACAAACTTAAACCTACCAGTCAGAGATTTTAAATTATTTTGGTTATTTTCATTGCAATTATCATCAAAGTTGCTTGTGGTCAGGCCTGTGGTAAGAAAAGAAGGCTAATGACCCAAAGAGGTGAACTCCCTCCTCTGAGATGAAATGGTAGGTCAGCAGCCAAGAGAGAAGTAGAACCACGTGTCCTTTCATCACGGAGTCCCATCACTAGGACATCCTGCCTTCTCCACCGTGGCAGTTTCAACTATGTCCTCTTTCCTTTCCTAATGCTTATGAAGGGTCTTATGTATCGATAAGCAACATGCTCAGCAGTTATTACCTCACTATTAAGAAGCTCTCCTCTAAAGAATTTATTTTTTCTGGCAAACGTTTTCCATCAAAGCTATCTTGGGCTCAAAATCTGAACTTGGCTCAGGGGGGTTTACTGTTTTGGCATGCTGAACAATGCTGGAATGTGAAAGGTACATGAGAATGGGGAGGACTCTGAAATGTGAATTTAAAACACAGTTGTTGAGGCTGGCCCAGCTGTCAATTATTATATCAATTTTCATTCTTAAGAAAAATGTTGGAGTAACTTTGTCAGAGATGGGTAACCAAAATTTGATTTGCCTGCCTTTTATCGTATCAGTTCATAAAACATTTTGTACAAATCCTTATGCGTCTTTTTTTTAAGCTAACAGCTCCCCAGTTTTTTTTTCCTTAATCATTAAGATTAATGCCAGTAACCAAGTAATAACAAACTAGTGTCTGCAGACAGTGCGGAAAATAACATTTTGTTAAGAAAGCAAATTGCTCAAAAGCTTATTACACAAAACAAAGAAGGAATTTTTTTTTAAGATTTAGAAAAATGCCTTTAATTGAATTTAGAGTCACTGAGTTGCAGCAGGCATTTAGGGTAATATTTAATGTATGAATGTTAGACTGATCCGAGTTCCCCTGGTAAATAACAGCTTAGACATAAACAACAGGACTTTTAAACATGAAAATATGTAAGCTTAATGATATACCCTGCCATTAAGGTCTGTGGATTTACAGAGGTTATTTCATCAATAGGAGAAAAGACACTTTAATGTGGAAAAAATCAAGAGGGTACTTAGAAGCTTATGTGAAACACATTGCATCACAGGTGTTCCCTGAACTGAATTCTTACCCAACAGTAGACAGTGCTGTGCAGAGTGCATGGGGCAATTGCCGGTATCCTTCTAAGTGACAGCAGAGATAGGCTACCTGAGATAATTTTCTTTCTTTTTTGGCAAGGACACAACAAAGAGGAAGTCCATTTTTCTCAGAACAGTTCTTATTAAGAAAGGAGCTAGAACCAAACCAGAGCCAGGAATAACTGAGCCAAATTTGGCACAGTTGTCCTTGCCCATCCTGGAAAAAAGATTGTACCTAAGTCTGCATCTGCTTCATTTGGCGTTATGATTTGAGCCTTTCAAATTTTTCACCTTGTATTTTTGGAAGCTTATTAGCTTGTAGATCATCACAGGCTTTGATTTTTGCACATCAGTCTTCCTTTTTCTTAGTTTTCATCTTCCACTTTGCTTGTTCTGGTATGGCACCAAAGTGCTCACTTGTCTCCACACCAAGCTGTGTATAGCATCTTTTTTAAGGGAATCTGTGGGATGTTGGAGTATTTCTCCATCCAAGTGTATATTGCCCTCTGTTTCACCCTTATTTTAGAGTTTTCTTTCATGTAATCTTAGCCATTTTAATTGCCAGTTAGGCTTTGCCACTTGACTGACCGAGGTATGTTGGTGATGTGACATTTACCACAATCACATTCATAGGTAAATTGCTCAAAGTCCCTATACAGAGTTTGGGGTTCATTGCCTTAGTTTTGGATGTTTGAAATGTTTCCTTAGTCTGTATGATGGTTGCTGCAGCAGTGTCTGAGAGATCATCTGTTTCGCAGAAGTCTGAATAGCAGTCTACAATAAGGAGGTAGCTTGTGTGGTTTGTGGTGAAGATTTCCATTCCTGTTTCGCTTGAAGGTCTGTTGGGAAAACTGTGTATGTTCAATGCAATCCCACGGGTTTTTGAACTACATAAAAAATGGTCTGTGTGTCAGCTCCACTTACTTATGTTTGAGTGTGACCTTGTTATATGTCTCTGACTTTTGTTAGGAAGAATAGAAGCTTTTTGAACCTACATTCTCTTGTGAATTCTTGGTTTTTACTTCCTGTTACCTGTTGTCACAAGTAGTTCAGTTTTGAGAGCTGATACATAAATCAGATATTTTATTTCAGTAGTAAACGGATATTTTCTATATCCAGACCCCTTATCGCACTTAGTGATAGGATACTTTATTGCATATAGCACTTTTGTGGACTGAAATCCTTTTGGAGAACTTGGAATCAGATCCAACACGGTCTGCTGCTGTCCTGCTGAGGTGGTGTCAGCTGCAGTGTTTGTCCATTAAAATCTCATCCTGTTTTCATTCTTCCAAAGTGGGCAAAGTTTTTTATGAGACTGTTGAAGCTGACACTCAGCGATACCATGTTTTGCGTGTGAAAATAACTAGTGGGAATCATTGCTGTGCAGTGTTCGGGTTATGCATTCAAGGATCCTCTTTTTGTCTCACCTGGAAGGAGAACGCTCTGAACTTCCACATGTAATCTAGAGATCCCCAGCTTCCATAAAAGACATACTTGAAAGGCAAATTAATCCTATTGCTTTTTTGGCAACTGGCACTTATGAGCAGTGTTATTGTGGCTATTTAAGAATCTCTAGTTGCATGCATGCCTGTCAGGTAGAAAATACGACTGAAAATATCGGTAACTTTTACAGGCCACACATGATCCTGCTTATTCCTGTTTACAGCACTAGGTTCATAAAAGCTTAATACAGTTATTTACTGGAATATACACAAAGAACTTTATAAGTAGATATAATATCTTTTACTAGATCAAATAGTACAACTGGAAAAAGTGGAAGACCCTAACAGCCAACAGACTTTTCCTCAAGTCTGAAATAGAAACGGCAGAAACCAAAGCAGCTGAGAGCAATTGCTCCACATTGAATTTGGTCTGTCTCAGACCCAATTTTCCTGAAGAAAAGAGAGACATGGTCCATAACCTGTGGAAAATGAAGAGCATGGTAGAATTAGCTTAACTCTACCTACCTACAAAATCAATATCTTTATATATAAGGATTAATTTTCTTACTGGCTTTTGAAGGTGTTTTATATCCACCTTGAGAATGAGAGAAAAAGTGCTTGTTTTGTGGGAAATGTTCCCCATTGGTACCTGGGGGTTTCCTGACCTTTATCTGATGTCCTTCAGAAATCGTTCTGGTATATAATGTCTGTGCTTTGGGCTACACAGTTTCCTTGAAGGTACCTGGTGAACTGGATGAAACTTAGTCAAGGAAGTGCAATGACAGGAACTGGAGGTGGCTGATGGTTCTCATGTAGATTATTTATTGTGTTGGTTGTAGATGAGTGCTGGCAAAGTTTTAAATGTGTCACTCAAGCTTGGTCTGGATCCATTAAATATTTCCATGGAGAAATATCTCAGTTGCACTAAAGTCATCTTCAGATAACTGAGATGAACATTTTCAGTGTTCCCCAGACCACCTGCAGTGTTTCCCCCCAAACCTCATGTACTTTTTCCAATGCATGTTTGTCTAATAAAAAATATTCTGTCTGCAAACCTTGTCTTGCCTATGTTTGGGGCTGAAACAGTGTTACTATTATTTACCAGATAATAGTCAGTATTATGTATCATAATGAATATGATTTTGCTTTCATGTTAACTTGAATTAAGGATAGTTTTCCTTACAGGTTACTTACATTTCCTTTTTTACTTCAGTTGTATGTGAAGACTGATCAAGACAGTTATCTGTTAAATCATTATCACAATCCAAAGTTCCTTCTAGGTTGATTTACAGGATTTTTCAGGATTTTTAAAGAAATTACTTTGGTTTTCAGTCTCCAAACCGAAGATAATCTTCTCAGTATTTTGTTTATTTCATTCCACAGGAATCATTAAAACAGGTAAAGATAGTTTCAGTCAACAACCCATTAGTCTTTCTGAATGCCAGGAAATTTCAGGCTGACCTGATAAAGATAATCCAGAAGGATACCATGAGCAGCCAGGCATGTGAAGATGTAAACAAGGTAGGATGTGCTATATGCTTCAGTAATCATGGTGACGGTGTTGAAGATCATGATTGTTTTCCTTGCATTTCTTAGAGAATGCAATCAGATACTGAAACAGATTTAAAAAGGTAATATTTCAAATTATTAATTTAGGATAGAATAAAGTTAATCTTAATCAGATTCAATATGGATCATTTTCTTATTATTACTTGAAAAAAATTTCTCTACTATTTCTATATATGATCCTGTAAAAGACAGTAAAGCACTGATCCAAAGCTCTTCAAAATTTCTGGCAGAACTTACATAACCACAGCTAATATAAGGTTGTGATTTTAAAAAGAGACTGAGTAGCTACAAATCTACTTGAATAAAATTTGAGTTTTTTGCTGGAGGTGAGTCTATGAGAGAGAGACATTTCATTTCTGTTTCTAACTATAAATAATTCCAGGAGAATTAGGAAGAAGGTACAAACTGACTAAAGTTTTTCTCAAAGGTAGTGTTTCTTTTTCATTTTCTACACTGATTGTATTGGAAAAATAAACAGTATAAAAATTATGTATAACTTGGTTTTGGAGAATATCTCCATAAGTATATTATTTTTTGAGTTTATCTGCACATAACTACTGCAACTTCCTACAACACTCCCTAAAAGGGAAAAAAAGTCTTATTATTTTTCTATCATTGCAATGAAGACATTCCAATACTGTACAATGCTTATGGCAGGCAATTTCATCCAGTTTGGCAAATTGGGCTGAGAAAATCACAGTCATTTCCTAGATGAATTGTTAAGACAACGTTCAGCAATGTGTGTTCACCACCTCTCCTGTCTCTTGCCAAAGGGCTGTGCTACCCATAAGTACTTTGATGGGTGGCTTCTCCTCGTTGTGCAGAAATTCAGCTCAGAAATTGTGCTGCTTTTTTTCCTTGGTTGTGCTAGGCTAACTGATTTGGCTTAGTATGATAACAAACAACCAAACAGAGAGAAATTACTTAGGATTTGCATGGAATTGATTTATGAGTTAATTTAATAAGTGTAATAAGTTAATAAGTTAAGTTAATAAGTTAATTTATAAGTTACTTAGGAGGGAGATTTTATCCTTTGTCTCTTCTGTAAGGTACTTGGCAGTACAGCTGCCTAAAATACTGTGCATAATTTTTTTTTTTTGTGGAATAAAGGTCTTTCTGTAGCACATAATGGGAGTGAAAAAAGATTGCACTTTGGATTTTGTTTCTATGCTGTATTTCTGGTTTTAACTCGTATTTCTACTGAGAACTTAACATTCATATTGAAATCATTATAAAAAAATTTCTCCAGTTAAAGGTAACTCTTTAATAAATGTACATGTCAAAAATGTTTTCACTAAAATATTAGCATAGTAGATGAGATTGCAGCAAGTAGAAAATGAATCAAAAGTTAATCTTATAAAATCATTGACTAGAATTTGTCTTTTCAAGAACATCTTTCCCATCTTTTGACCACTTCTTAACCAACCCCTGCTTCCCCAAAAGCATCGTGTTCATAATATGCTTTTTAGTGGATCGAAACATGACAGAGGTTGAGTCATCTAGAAAGAAAAGCGAGATACCAGTTTGGTGTAACTTTAGAAGAAACTGAGAGACATACTCAGCAAATACTATATATCCAATAGGCTGCTGCATACAATATGATTTTGGAGAGAAGGAGTTAACTTTGAAATTGAGAAACAGAATTCTTATGTATTGCATTGATTTTCTCTAGTTACTATGCATTGGACTAGTTTTCCTTGGTATGTTAATAATTTGTTGCTTTTATTTCAGTGTGAGCAGAATACGTTGCTCTGTTCATTTTCCAATGGGAGTTGTCATGGTGAGTTTATTATCTATAAATGATGTTAAACCCAAGATGGATATAAGTGTGCAAAATGGCTCCATGCTTTTCTATTTATTTCTATGTGAATTCAAGTTGTCTAGAGACTAATATTTTCAGTTAGACCAAACATTCAGTGAAGCATGAGTGCTAAACAGTGTTAAACTCTGTTAACCTTGGCCTAACAAGTCCTATTTTTATTCTGTTCTCGACTGACCTTTTAAGATTTCAAAAGTGGGGAACCCATGAAAATACCTTTTCTGCAGGAGTCCCTGATTATTTCTCATGAACCACTGTGTGTATACTGAGACAGGAACGCAGTGGGGGGAACCACTTCCCACGTTACTGCCTGGATTGGTCTTCAGACAAAGGCCTAAGAGGCTGTTTTGCTAAGCTCTGGTCTTGTGTTTTTGCATTCACAGTGGGACTTGAATATTAGTATGCAAAACTAAAAATAGGATAAGATTAGAGCCATGTTAAATCTTTGTGATCTTTAAAGCTACTTAGGAGAAAATCTCAGAAAACATCAACTGAATTATCAGTGACACTATGGCCACCAATATTGTACTGTATATCAATAGAGGAGAGAATAAAGAAAAAAAACCTAAGGGTTTGTTTTCAATTAAGGATTAAGCTGGATAATTCCGCTTTTCCCACATTTTATAACACTTAAATCAAACCAGAGCACATACGTTCCCGTGGGAGAGCTGCAGCGACCTTTTGCAGAAGATACTTTATACAGATGACTTAATTGTGGATGGTATTAAAATGTTGTGTTTATTCAAAACACTTATAAGCATTAAGGCCACACTAGAGGTTCTGATTTGGGGGCTGTTGTCTGAATGTTTACATTTATTAACTAGACTCATGACATTTTTATGATACTACAGTGTTTAGTTTACTTGGGGGTGACAGAGTGCTTTGCTGTAACACATAGCAGTGCAATGATAATGGCTACCGAAGACTATACAGGGCTATACCGTAAAAAACTGAAAGAGTGCAAAACACTTTATATGGGAGGAGGTTTTTGGAAGGTCTTGGCAGTACATATTTCAGACTTCTTTTGAATGAACTGGTTTCTCGTGTTACAGAAATTACAGACATCACAAGATCCCTTTTCTGAATGCTTAAGTCTTGCCTTGAGGATTTAAATGCTCTGTTGTTCCTTGTACCAACCAGTCTATGGTGACTTTTCATGGGAGCTTTAAAATAAAAACTAGACAGAAAAAAGAAAAATCCCTATAAAAAGGAAAACAAAATGTGGGGCTTAAATTTTTAGGAAGGAGGGGAGCAGGAAGACATAATCCTTAATCCTTACAGCAGTTGTCCTGGAAGGTGCAACGTACATCTTTGTCAAAACCTTTCCTTTCTCCCTCTGGGGAATACTGATTTGCCATTGGTCTGTATCAGCACCAAATTAAACAGCTGCTGTTGCCCTTGCCACTGGTTCAGAGAGGGAGCAGGTCTGTACCTACCCCCATTCAGAAGCCAGGCGGCCTCTACTGCAATGCAGGATGCCAGCTGGGTGGGAAGGTAGCATGAGTAAGTAATAAGGAGAAAGACTAAGTTCTTTTGTTTCAGAGGCAGAGGAGGTGTGTAGAAAAGATTACAGTGAGCAGCCTAGCAGATCTCATAAATCCTTTCTGGATTTCCATCACAGTAATGTCAGGCAGGAGGTTTCCTTTGAAATTCTGTATTTTTGTTTGAAATGTATCTATTAATGTACATTGGACAGTACAAAGACAGTAAGTCTCTGGAGTCCAAAAGGCTCTGACTCTTAGACTACTGTCAGAAAGGAATTAGCAACATTATAAATCTACACCATGGGGAAATTCTAAGTCCCCTCAAGAGTTTAAAATCTTTTCCTCTGCTCTGTCAAAACCATTTAGCTTAACCCTTGTCTACATTCAGAATTCTTTTCCTTCTTTTTTTTTTTTTGTTTTGTGCGTTACGATAACTAACATTTGTTCACAGAGCAATGTAAATATGACGTGCATTATTTTCTAGTTTTCCCTTTATGAAAGTCAGGAATCATTATCTATGTGCTAGCTCAGGACGCATTTAGTCCAGAAGCACAAGATGGCCTGAGGTTGAAGAATGAGTAGAAGACCTTTGCAAATCTTACCAACATATTCTTTTCTCCAGCATCAATACATGATAGTATATAAAAAATTAACCAAACAAAAAACAACACAGTAAAACCTTAGAAAAATGAAACACTCCACTTTACATATTTTTCTTCCTTATGGGAAGATATTAGTTAAGCCATTGGCAGGCATTTAGGTAATACAGAAATGAGTGTCATATCAGATCTTAAGAGAGAGATGGATTCTCTATGTATCCCATGTAAACTCTTCTAAACAAGCCAAGATATTATCCTGACACATTTGGAAATTCAAATCTGAAGAAGCAATTCTTTAATTCTTGAGAGAGTATTCCTGTCAAACATCTCACTAATAATATGTTCTGCCTGTCATCACTTCATCCCATTGCTCTGAAGGTCCTTCATTTGTGCTTCTAAAATATGTCATTTGCTTGACTGATACCCCAGTACATAATAGTAAAATTTTTATTGTGATAGTTTGGGCTTATTTTGTTGAACTATCATTATTCTTATATGCATTTCTTGACTATTCTCCCTTTTAATTAAAGTTTTTTCTTTTATCAAATGTGTAGGTGAGTCGTTGCAGTCATGTCACGGTGAGCGACGTGCTTTGATATTAGACTGCAGTGGACTGAATTTCTTTGACTACACTGGAGTCTCAGTGCTGCTTCAGGTATTCATGACATCAGACAAATTCTGTACCTAGAAATGTAATTACACATACAAATTATTGGGGCCAGCTGCTAGTTACCTCACCTATATCTGTGGATAAACATGTCACTTGTGGAAAAGATGAACACCGATTTGGTATTAAACTGCACTGTGTTTATATATGAAATTATATAAAAAATAATTCTAAAGATTTTGGGTGACATTCAGTGCAAATGTAAGTACTGTATGTAATGGAGATGAGTTTCTGAATTTTTTTTAATTTTTATAGCTGTTTTAGGTCATATTTGACCCTGTCCTGTCAGTTATGTCAGTTGCAGTGGAGCTATGTGTGGATTTACCCCTTTAAAATTTCAGCTTTTAATTCTGTGATTTTATCTGTATGCCCTGCTTTCTGCTAAGCCAGAGGTCTTAATGATCTCCATGTTTTCTCCTGTGGGTTACATACCTAGCAGGCTGAGTTCCTTGGCCATTGCAGGAGCTCCAGGAAGGTCCCAGAAGACCAAAACCAGTAACCACATAATGAGCAGTTCTATATAGTGGATGAAAAGTTATGTTCAGAAGCTATTTCTTACGTTTCCATTGGGTTTGGCATTTAATAGTTGTGTAGTGGGTAGAGATTTAAGTGGGTATGCAAGGTTTGGTTCATATAATTTTTCTGAGTAAGATAGAAGACCAGATTTGAACTTGGGTCTCAGCCCAGGCCTTTTCTTATTCTAACCATTTTCTCAATTTACTGCAGTGATTAAGCAGTGAAGTAAGTATTGCCTTAAAAATGTTAAATTAAAACTACGTATAGGTGGGGATATAGTGAAAAATAAAACTGGAAAAATTAAATAAGGGGAGTAGGAGTTACTCTATTATGTCTCACCTCAAAATGTAGAGCATTCAATAAAATTAGTAGATAAAGCATTAATTAAAAAAAAAGATTTGTGAAACTGATTTCCAAAAGATCTCAGAGACCTCAGAACTGCAAATTATGTCAAGGAAGTGTTAGACAAATTTGTGAGAGGTAAGTCCATCATGGGCTGTGAAATGCGCAGGTTGGGAGCGCAGCCTCTGGCTGAATGACTGGTCCAAAACTGAGTTACCCAGAGGAGGAACACACTCAAGATGTCCACTTCATTACACTCCCTCCCGAAATACCATCACTGCTGTTGGAGTTAGAGGGATTTTTAGTTGAGTCAGGCTTTTCATTTATTTTTAAAAATAGGGTATTCTGATGTGGTTATCATTGAATCTCTTCTCTCAGAATTGTTCCACTTGGAATAGATTATTTAAGCATTTTTTGAAGCAAGGACTGCTTTGGATCCTCATCTGCCAGAAAAGGCCCTGCTCTGGTTCTAGAGCTATTTTCACTTTTTTTTTACTTTCTAGTTTATTGAATATTTAGTCTTTGTGAAGTTGAACATTTTCAAAGAAAGAATAAAGAACAACTTACTGCAGCGTGTAGCATGATGGTTATGGTGCTTTTCTGATGGACTGCTAAAAGTCTCAAAGTTTCCTAGGTCTGATTCCTATCTTTGTGGACTGGTAGGTAAGCATGTGGAGAGGAGATGGGGAAACTTGCTAAAAAAGGAGAACTGGAAAAAAAACCCTAAAAATATAGTAAAAAATGCAAAATTGTTAATCAAATTCAGATTTAATTCTCAGCAGAACTGTAGAGTACTTTGAGGAGAGGGGAGGAAATTAGTGTGGGTTTGTGGTGTTTGCATTATAGAAGAGCTCGCTCTGGTGTCTGCTGGCAGTATAGCTTCAACAGCAGCACTCCATGCTCTCTGCCTGCTTTGAATATGTTCTTTTTGTGTATTTTATTCTCTGTTGGTATTTTAAACAGTTTTTTTGAATTTCATGTTTTCACACATATAGATTTACATGGACTGTAAGAACAGACACATCGATGTGTTGCTAGCACACTGCAAAGGCAAGTATCAGCTTACAGCAGAATTTTTAACATGGCGGTTTATATATCTTCACTACCTTATCAGTGCTCATATGTTTGTTTTATTACAGCTTCCTTGATAAAAGCAATGCAGTACGGTGGAAATTTTGAATCTGAAAATCCTGTCTTCTTTGAATCTATTTCTTCGGCAATCGATGCCATTCAAATTCACAGGGTGAGACTTACAGCAGGGGTAGGTGAAGTCTGGAGGGCTTCTTGGATGCTCACAGCAATTTGTTAAAGTCTGGGAAAATCTTATTTACTCAGTGAACCTTCTGTGTAGAAACCTTTTATCTGTCTATTCTCTACAACTGGTCCCCAGACTCTGGACTGCAGTTATCAAGTTTTTCCTGCTAGCGCTCTCTTCCCATCACCTTCTCTCCTTTAGCAACAACTTCTTGGTCTTCTGTGCTAGACCCAGAGGCGCTGTGTTGTGGTGCATTAATCTGGGTTCATTCTCCACTGGAAAGCATAATGTCATCTGGAAACACCTAACGTAGCCTCTTGGTGAGGCAGATTAACTCGCACCCAGTTCTGCGTTACTGAAACTACACTCCTCCGTTCCTCAGCCTGGGTTGCTTAAAGCTACTTCACACAGCACTGCACTGTTCTGACCAAAATGCTTCTGGATCCTTAGCACATTTTTTCTAGCTAATAAGCTTGTCTCTACCCTGCAGTGTAGTGTGCTGTGTTGGCTCGCTGGCGGAAAGAGGGGAGAGGAATTGCACGACGTGGAAGAGAGAGCTAGAGGGAGAAGGAAGGCTTGGCTCAGAAATTTGAGGCTTGAGGCTTGAGCATGCATTTGCTTGAGTATGTATTTACTCGCTCAATAATAATTCTTGCATTCCTTGTTAAAAGGCTGTAAACCCGGGCTTTCCTCATAAACCACGTGAGCCTTTTCCATTGCAATCCCAGTGTAACTGAGCGTGCATTACAAGTAGTGTGCTTTCCCATGGTTTTATTTATGATTCCAAACATGGCTAGAGCTTGGCTCAGAGCCTTCTCCCAGAGACATTAAACTCATCATGGTCTGTGGTTTTGGGGTTTTTTTTCCTCCACTTTGTATTTTACTAATTAAATTAGAGTTGCCTATGGACAAAATCACTTTCTATTGACTTATCCAGATAAGGTGAGTTGGCACAGCTGGTCTAGTGGATTGACCAGAAAAACATGTTCTCTTCAGAGATTTTCAACATTTTTCATTTTGTTGCCCTGCAAGAAAAATTATTTATTAAATGGTAACTGCAAGGCAAAAATAATGGGGATGACTATTGTATATTTTGTCTGGGTCTGATTAGATGAATTAGGATGATTGTTGTGTTATAAAAGGTCTGCATTCTTTATAGACATTAATTAACCTTCCTAACATTCTTGTAAGATAGTTATGTACTAGCATCCCCATTTTAGGGAAATGGGACATGGAAAGACCAGGACAAATGTTCAAAGTGAAAAGGGAGAGTTAGAGCTCAGAAGCCCACTTTTCTAGGAACTGATTCCATGTTTCTACCAGAGCTGCTAGGCAAATCAAAACTCTGAATAGTGGCTTAGTGGATTAGTCCGAAAGGCTTGCACACAGCCTCAAATTTTAAATATAATTATGAACAGTATATATATGCTGCTGATGCCTCTTCAGAGTATTCAAAGTATGTGTTTTGGGTTTTTTAATGTGTTCTTTTATGTGGTTTTTTATGTGTCCTTGCGTTTAATACCTGAAGATAAGAGAAGAGGACAGAGGTAAAAAGGCAGCGTGACAGCAATAGCAGCACCACACTGTAATGAACACAGTCCGTCTATGTACTCTTCCTGTGCCTTTTTAAGATGCTGGGGTCAGCAGGAATTTTGAGTGTTTACATGAAGGAAAAATGGCAGGATAGGATAGGATAGGATAGGATAGGATAGGATAGGATAGGATAGGATAGGATAGGATAGGATAGGATAGGATAGGATAGGATAGGATAGGATTTACATGAAGGCAGGATAGGATAGGATAGGATAGGATAGGATAGGATAGTAGGATAGGATAGGATAGGATAGGATAGGATAGGATAGAAAAGGATAGGATAGGATAGAAAAAAATAGGAGGAAGGAGCTGGAGATTTACAGAAAGTTATTCATTCCGATTTACATTTCAGCTTCCCCCCGCAGCAGGAAATATCTTTCACTGGCAGAAAGGTAGAGGCAAGAGGGCTTCGTGGTTCCTTTTCATCTCTGCTGCTGTTCAGAAAGGCGAAGGTGCTCTTATCTACATCCTCCAAGGATAATCTTGTGTAATTCTAATTTTTATGTTGATAAGTTGGTAAGAGACTCATCTGTTGCTTTATGCAGTTCATCCTCATCATAAATAACTTTTTGATTTATGGTCTTTATAATGGTGCCATTTTCAAACTAGGACTGCTTCATCTGCTAATTTTATGTGTCATTCTAGGAAAACGTTATAATAATTTTTTTCTGTTTCTCCCAATTTAGAATTACAGCAAGTTCAGTGAACAGAGTGAAGTGTGATGTCAACCCATTGAATATGGCTAGTTTGATCTGCTCATATTCAGAATGAACTACACCACGGTTTCTCCTTAGCTTTTTTCTCCAGGGGATCTCATAGATGATCTTTTATATGCCATGTATATCTACTACATTCAGTAATGACAGATCTGCCATTCAGAAAAAAATCTTTCAGATGCCATCACTCAGAGAATGTTCATACAATTGTTCTATAGTGGGTTTATATAATATTTTTATATACATTTAGATACAAATTATTAGAAAGCAGACATGAGGTACTGACTGTGTTTAGCAGTAAGGTATATTCCTTTAGATATCTTCTTTTGTAAAATTAATTGTAATATGCATCTGTAGCTTTGTGCATGGAAAAATGAGACATTATGAGTTCTTAAAAACAGTGTGTTATAATTGATACAGTATATGCAGGAAGCCATATACCAGTGCATGCTGTTTCTAATGGTTTTATTTATCCTTTTTTCTATTCAAGACAGCCATTTGCAATAACAGCATCATATCACAGCTGTCATATTCTTCTGTTTTTCATACTTTGTTTTGTATGCTTTTTAATGCCTGGCAAGGTCAGTGGGAGCACTGTATATTCAGAGAAGGCAGATGTATGTTGGCTAAGTGCACTGCATTGTATTCCCCTCTAGTAGTTGTCATGAGTTATTATTATAGTTTGCTACATTTTCAAAGCCACAGGTATTCTTTAGCTCAGATCGAAGAGGAAAAACTGGTAATATTTTTCCAAAACTTGTTGTTTCCAGCGTAGAGTAGTCTGCATTTCCAGTTTGAGCTGTGGTTTGTTTGGTGTTGAAATCTTCAGCTGTGGCAGCTGAGAGATGACAGTGGAGAGACACATAATGTGTGTGCCACATTTCAGCCCCAGTTCTGGTGTGCAGTACTGTGTGTGAGCACACAAATGGAGTGGAGGCATTCACGGGTTGCGTATTTGGCTTGTAATTACGGTTTGCCATCAATCATATTAGATTATGCTATCATATCAGTATCCTGTTATGTGGCAACATGTATGACTTTTTCCCTCTTGTCTTTATTGCCATACATGAACACTAGCAGTACCAATCAAAAATTAGAAAGGATGAGGAAGTAGGATTTTTCCTCACCGACTTAAAAAAACTATGGAAGCTAAAAGGCAAATGAATATGGCACAGCCGTAATGGCCATCTTAGTACTACAGAATGGAGAGAAGTACAAGGGTACTTTGTGCAGCTGCAGTGTATAGGCAAAATCTAATGCTAACCATCCTGTTTTCAGCAGCAGTTACATATGCATGCTTGTCTGGACTCTCCTTGTTCTGTCTGTCCAAAGCAGCTGCCTGCAGTAGATGAGGTGGCTCACGGAGTGATTTTCACATCTCTGCATTCTTGTGTTAAGGTGTCGATAGGCTTTTTTTCTGGTCTCGGTGATTCCACACTACTAGAAGACAATGGGAGAGCGCCATGGGTTTTTTTACCCTTTCAGTTATAGGTGACTCTTGGAGTTATTCCCCACTTTGTCCCACAGATGACCAGAAGTGCTCCGTACATGTTCTTCTGAGACTGCTTTCATAATTACTGTGCAATGGGTTGATTAGTAACTGTGAGAAGCTTGTTATACACAGAAGAAATAAGTTCTGTACATTGTCCCAAGCGCATTCATTTCAGATGCTGTAGCTGATTGCAGATGACTCATTACATCCTCAGACTCAGTAACAGGCTATAACATTTGATTAATAATTTCCTCAAACAGTTTTAGTAATTTATTAACACTTTAGAAACTATTTACAATGCACTTTAATTGTAGAAGCATCAATTTTATGTCACAGCTGAATGGAGATCTCTACTTAACTGCAAACTGAATAAATGAATAAATGGTATCTTTTCTACTAATTTCAGTATTTATTTTTTGATGGCTAAATGTTTTTTCTGAAAATTTACAGATAAGTTGATTAATGAAATTGTTGAAAATAGGGTCTTTAGCAAAGATAGCATCTACCAGGAGACTTTTGGTTTTGTTCTGAATGATCTTGTAAATGGAACAACACAGATACTTTTAAAATTCTTTATAGTGTTATCCCTTGATGAAACCCTCTGCATGTCTGCATCAAATTAACAATTTTGTAGTGCTAATCACAATGGCTTCCAATTTCTGCTGCTTTCAATAGGAATAACTTTTTCACAGCTGAATAACTGTTTTGGGATAGACATTTATCTCCCAAGACCTTCTTGTGACAGTGTCATTTTAAAAAGTGTTTCATCAGTGTAAGACTTCAAATTCAAAATGTCTTAATGCTGTGATTACTGCTTGATTGTCTCTCAGGGCAGAATCAGGGATGAAATACATTTCTTCCCCTAAAACATTTAATCATAACTCTAAATTTCCTACCGTTCCAACACTGGGCTTTGGGATACTTGTAATATTCCTGTAATGTATTTTACCTTATATAATTAGCCTAAATGTCTTTCTATTTCGGAGAATATACATTGTTAATTAGATTCCCTTTCCAGCAAGTGGCACCGCTTAGCATAGTTGTTTCTCAGCAGAACAGAGCGTTCAAGGTACCCATGAAGATAGCTGCCCTTTCAATTGCTTCTAAAACACCTGTACTGAGTTTAAGCACTGTCAGACCAGAACTGTTTTACAGAACCATGGTTAGTGGGTGAGGAAGGGTAATTTCTTTTTTACCATTGGCCTAGGAGGGCAAATTACTTCACTGCTGATGCAGTTTCCGTTTCTCCACCACCCCCCCTCTGAGCTATTGATGTTCACTAAAACTGGTAATTGCATGTTGCCTGTCTTCAAGTGACCAGGATGAGATGCTATCAGATCTCATGCACTGATGACTGACCACCAGGAAATCACCGGTCACTCTGCTGGTGGGCTGGGCGTTGCTTAGTGTCTTGCCTGAGTTGCTTTCTGCAAATCTCTGGTGGTGATGTGTTTGCTTCACTTGCAGAGTCAACTGACAAACAACTGCTCATTTCTTTGGTGAAGATTTAAGGAAACACCCTAAACCTTCTAGATTAAGTTTTGAAGTTTACTATCAATTTCAACCCTTTCCTAATGCTTCTTTGTATAGACTGTCCACTGGCTTCCCTCTGGCTCTCAGGAAAAATTACTATGTAAATATATAGGAGCTTAACCCAAAACACCCCAATTAGCTTCACCAGAATAGAATAGAATAGAATAACATAGTTCATTTGAAAGAGATATACAACAATCATCTAGTCCAACTACC